AAATTTATTTGCGCGAAAAAAGTTTGTTACCTTTCTCTCTAAAGGAGGGAAAGAATAAGTGGATGTGTATGTGTAAAATAGGAGGATGTTTGGAATAAGAGGATGTGTAATAAAAAAAAAAGAAAAAAGGACTGTATAAATATTTTTTTTTGTTGCACAAGCTTTTCATATAAAAAGTATAAATGATATTAATATTATTTAAAATATAAAAAACGCGTGTTGTATAATCATGTAATCAACTCTTGCGGACTTACAAAAATAGAAAAATAGTAAAAAATAGTCTATTGTTGATATTTAATTGATTTAATAAAAAAAATACTTTATACTGCGCATCAATAACAAAAAATTATTACAGTATAAGTTTGTAAGCAAAAAAAATATTTTATTTGATAATTAAACTGTAATAGTCTATTTATATTATCTTATATAATTATGAGTCATCACTTACATATTATTTTATTACCATATAACAATTTAAACTGCGCATCAATAAAACCAGTGGCTTGTGTTATAAAAAATATTTAACATAAAAGGTATAATTAAACTGTATATCAGTCCTTACATCTTTTACAATAACAATCATATTATCTTATATAATTATGAGTCACTTACATATTATTTTATTACCAAACAATTTAAACTGCGCATCAATAAAATCATGGGTTGTGTTATAAAATATATTTGACATAAAAGGTATAATTAAACTGTATATCAGTCCGTCAAAATCACTGACCAAGAATTTTAATAAGTTAATTACATCTTTTACGCAAACTTATAAAAGACGCGTTACATGTTATAAGACAATTTATGTTAGACTATACTGTAAAGTTGACTACCGTCCTGATTTCTTTTAATAATACTCAACTTTTCTTTACAACTTAATAATAAAAATTTTATTTTAATGTAAAACATTTAATTTTCTTTTAATATAATCAGGGATAAAAAAGTTTTATTGACAAGTTACTCAAAAACTCATTCTCGAAAAAAATAATTGGTACTTTTTTTTATAATTGGATAATGGATTTTTATTTTTGAAAAATAAACTTTTTTTTATTATAAAAGGTTTCATGGAAATAGAAAGCTGGAAAAGGAATTAGACAAAAAGGATGAAAAGATTAAAAGAAAGGTGAGAAATGTTAGATTAGACCAGTGAAGCTACTGCGTTACGCTCACTTAGTTGACTTTATAATTAGTACTTTTTTTTAGTTTAATTGAATTTATTGAAAAAGGTAAAGACAGTTACATTGAATATTTAAAAATGAAAGTAAGATCATTAAAAAATGAAAGTCATTCAAAATCTCAAGATGATACACATCCAAATCCATCAATGACAAATATTACTTATGTTCAACCAGCAATATCAGTAGCAACTTCACCCAGGTATCAGGAAGAAGAATTTGACCTATTACAATATTAAAATGTAGGCTTTTAATTAATGTATTTGTGTATAATATTATGTTACTTTATTTTAAAGTCAGCACCAGTATTTTATTTTATCATTTTCAATGTAATTCTCTTTGAATGTTAAAATATATATATGTTGAATATTTAAGTTTATTGGAAAAAATTATTAGACAAAGATATTTTTATTTATTTAATTGAAAAATGAAATATTTTTTTACCATTGCAATAAAGTTATTAAAATTTTTGAAAGATATAAATACTATATTAATCACATTACATAATCTTTTAAATTAAAAAAAAAGTTGCAGATTCATTGGCTATTTTCAGTTAAAATATTATGTAAAAAAAGCTTTTAAATAAATATGTTTTAAAAATCCTTATTCCTTTATTCAAAAAAAAAAAAAATGAACATCACATTGATATTTATAGATTTTATTATTTTCTTTCTATATTTCCAATTTTCAAATTTTTCATACCCAAATTATTGTTCCAAATTTAGAAACTGGTATCACTTCTATTTCTTATTTTGAAAGCCAGTGTAGTTGTCAATTTATACTATAAAAAGAAATTGTCATAATAGAAAGATTCTGCCGAAAAATTGGGACGGTATATTACAATATTTTTTGTTTAGCCAATCTTAAGTCAAATAGAAAAATGAATGAAACAATTTGATTTTAAAGGCCAATTATATACATATTAATCTAATTATCTTATCATCATGTTCATTCTCAAAACGTGTAAGAAAAAAGATATTGATAATGCACAAAAGAAATGAGTTAGATCATACAAAATGTTTTTGTGATAATAATATATATATAATTTTGCGATTGACAAAAGTTTTTTGTGAAATAATAATAAAAATGTAAAATATTATAATAAGGCATGAAAATAACAACATTAGCGGTCACAATGAACTTGTATTTTTTAATAATTTTATTCTAGATTCTCAATAAAGGATAAAATAATATTCAACTTTACTATCGAAAAGATACATCATATCATGTCAGTAAAATCATGAAGTGATCGACGGTTACGAGCCATGTAATGTTTGGTAATACAATCTTTATGTAAATAAGCTCACGAGGCATAGAAATTTTATTTTTTCAATAAAAAAATTTTTCTGCACTCAAAAATGTCTAACAAAATTAAACCTGAAATTATTGATAATTCAAATGAGATGATTAATATAATTGATGAAGCTATTACAAAAAATTACCTTAAATATTATGAATATAATCATTTCTATAATATTCAAGAAATTGGTTTCAGAAGGTTCGGAAAAGTTTATCGCGCAAACTATAGAAATTCTTGTAAAGTATTGAAAATTTTTTAATTTTGACAATGTCACGGTTAAAAAAAATTGTTAATGAAGTAATTACAATATTTATTAATTTTATACTTAATATATATTTTTGTCTTTAGTTAATGCTAATCATAAAACAGAATTTAAATTAAAAAATGAAATAATATTATCGTAAACCTTACGAGAATATTATTCGTTTTTGTGGCGTTGCAACAAGTATGATAAAATAATTTTTTTTAAAATATTAAAATTTAATTATTTTGTTTTTTTTTCTTTTAAAGAAATCAAAGTGATAATTCAAAAAAGTATCTATTAGTAATGGAATATGCTGATGATGGTACCCTTCAAAATTATTTTTGATAAACTCACTTGGATTAATAAGTTAAATCTGGCACTTCAATTGGCCGTGTTGTATGTTTATATGATGAAGGAACAACGCATCATTTGGTAATTAATTTATACTATATATGAATATTTTATAATTTATTCACTTGAATTTAATTAATTTATTCATCATTTATAATTATAGAACTCTAACAATGTATTAGTTCGTCAAGGTATTATCAAATTATCAGATTTCGGATTATCAAAAGGAATTGAAGGATCGTTCAATCTTCAATCAAAATTATTTGATATGGTTGTTTACGTTGATCCAAAAGTTTTTGATCAAATAAGATACAACTATTACCAATTGCAAACATACTCTTTAAATAAAAGGAGTGATATTTATAGCATTGGTATACTCTTATGGGAACTAACTAGTGGTCACCCACCTTTTGTAATGAACTTTTCAATACATCCGATCTTGATCTGGCTTTAGAAATATTACAGGGTCTTAGAGAGAAACTTTTTCTAATACTCGAAGATTATTTAAAAATTTATACTGGTAAATATAATATATTAATAATGTTGTTTTTGGTTAATTTTAAATTATATTAATATACTTGTATATTTAAATTCCTTTAATAGAATGTTGGGATAATGAGCCAGATAATCGACTGACTACCAACGATGTTATTACTAAATTAAATACAATTATTTCAAATCAATTATCAAGTGAACATCAAATTATTCAAAAATTTTGATAAGATAAATTTAAACGAAATAGAACCTTCGATGTCGTTTGATGAAAATAATTTTAATCTGATGATTCATGAAATATTTACTTTGCCTACCAATATAGAGTAAAAGAGGCAATTCTTAATTGTTTTAATGATCATAGCGTAAGTTCAGAATATATTTATAAATGGTTAACAAATAATCAGGATAATTCAGATTCTATTGTTTTGCTTAGAGAATTTAACTATTAGTAATTGTAGTTAATGTTGATAAAAAAAGCATTTGAATTATATGATTTAGGAAATTCAATTGGGGTAGACAATTTGGGAAATTGATATGATGAAGGATCAGAGTTAACGCCAATTAAGAAAAAGCATTTGAATTATGGGTAATACTTCTGGTAGAATTATATCAAAAGGCAGCAAATTTAGAAAATATTATAGCTTAATATAATTTATCTACAATGTATGTAAATGGAGATGGAGCATTGATAAATATAAATCAAACAGTTTATTTGTTTAAAAAAACTGCTAAACAAGGTGATGAAGACGCTCAAAATAAATTAAATAACTTATTTCCTATATTATTAAATAATTTTTTAAATAAAAATTTAATTAGTTCAAATTATATGTAAATATTACTATTTAGTTGCCACACCCTCCCCTTTTCATTTTAGAAATGTAGCGCATCGATTACTGCGGTACTGCGGCTAAAATATCAAAGTGATTGACAACTTTTGTTTGTGACACTGTACGACTATTGGAAACTAAAAATAATTTTTTACCCAAATTCATCGCTTTAAACACTTTCTCACTTTTCTGTCAATTATTACTATTCAATGTCCGATAATATCAAAATGCAAGATACCGAGAATAAAAATGAATGGATTAAGTGGATTGAAGAAGCTGTTGACAAAGAACATATAAAATATTATGCTAATAAACCCAAATTCATTTTTATTCAGTTATGCCAATTATGGGGGTGAGAATCTCGTAGTGAAACAAGTTAGGTGTGAAAAGCTGAGACTGGAACTTGCATTTTTTACTGAAAGTTTTGCAGTGCATCAAAAAAAAAGTGCAAATTTCGCTTTATTGCAAGATTTATTACTCGAAAAATTATTTTGTACATATATTTTAAACTAATCATTATTCTGTTATCCAAAGCTGACAGAAAGTCACGTGAACAGGATTGACGTTATCACGGTTAAAAAAAGCCCGAAACAAACACTATACTCGCGCCCCTACTGCTATGCTTTATTGCCTCAAGTATAAATATGCCATCACATAAGATTAGAAGTCGTAGTTATTGAGTTATTGATTCCTTTTAAATATTTTTCTATTTCCATTTCTATTTCCATCTCTTTTTCTATTTTTCCTATAGAAATTAAAGTTTTAAAATTAATAAATTAATTATATAAATAAATAAATCTACCCATAAACAAAGTATAACTTACCACTGAACTTCGATAGCGTAAAGAGCCTTCTTTAACGGTTCCTTGAAATGTTCAAGATGCTCAGGAAATGTCATTTCAAGTTGTTTTTTCGCTTCACACAGAGGTTGATTATTTATATGAAATTCGGTATTACGCATCTTATTCAATCTAACCAAATATTCAAACTCTCCAAGTGTTATGTTAACTTGATCTAAAATTTCCACTAACCGTTCGAAGAGTCTATCATCTTCTTCATTCTCAAGTACATAATGATCAGTATCTTCAAGTATACTTTTCGTGAAAATAGTAGATATTCTATCCCAATCATCCTGATCACCCATAAGTTTTGGTACTATTATTTCATTAATAAGTATTACGACCCAATCACTATAACGTAAAATTTGTTTAGTATTTTCCAATAATGCTAATCTCCCTTCGATATTTTTGTTTGATGCTAATATCTTTTCGGTTGATACTAATATCTTTTCGGTGAGAGAGAAAGTATCTTCGGTAATTTTGCTCTGGTTTTTCATAATTTTGCGCATTTCTTTTGAGTTATTACTTAGCACTTCAAAGTTACTTTTACATTGTGTCCAATCTTGGTTATTAAAGCCTATTGAAATTTTTTTATGGATTTCTTCTTCATCTCTGCATTTCATATCTAATTCTTCGCTATGTTTATTATTTTTTGACTTCAAATTTTCTAAATAATTATGAAAATCATTAATAATAGCTTCGGCCATGTTTTTAAAGATATTATTTATAAGGAAAAATGTGTTGGTGCGAACTTATTCTTTAAACGTAACTACGTAAGGTTATAAATACTGTAAATTACACGCAGTTCAACTTAAATAAACAAATGATTGTGCAAAAGGCGTCGCACAATTTCCTGATTTATCACTTGAAACACATGAAAATGAATAAAAAAAGGATATAGGTATGTTATAGATATACGTGTCATAATTACGGAAAAACAATAAGGGCAGTGACATATATTACGTAATATCAGTTTAATATAATTATATAAGGTCTTATCGGGTATATAGTAAATCAGTATAGTATGATTTATAAATTTAGTATGTATGATAAGACAAATTACCATACTAAGATAATATTATACTATGTGACACAATAAATATCATACTAAAATATTTTATGTGATACAATGAAACACGTGTAATAAACAATAACATCATATATAACACGAAAAAAACTCTCTATTGTGGCTTATAATTACACGAAAAAAAATTTTTCTCTATTGGCAAAAAATATTTCTATCCAAAATAATAAAAATGAGTGAGAAAATAGATCTTTCAGACATAGAAGAACTTGATATTAATTATATTGAGTTAGATCCTGTAAGTAAAATATGTGAGGCTAAGTTTTTCAATTTAATAAATTAATTTTCTTTTGGTTTTCTTAAAGGAATATCAAGTTGAAAGTGATAGTAATACTATTGAAAGTGATAAAGATACTGATATAAGCGATGAAGAAGAAGATTCAATTGCAATATTTTCAAGAAAGACACATGTACAAGAAGTTCATTATGCCACTGTACCAATTGAATATCCAAAAACTTCAGAATATGGTGTTGCCACAGTATATAATATTACAGGTTGGAAGAATCCAAGAGACTGTTGGAAAAATGTAAGTAATTATCATTTATTAATCTGCAGCTTTATTAATTCTATTAAAATTATTAAATATAATACAAATAAATTTTTCTCCAGATTCAATATTCCTTAGGTGGAGGTGGTCAAAGTTCAATTAAGAACTGTCCATTCTTTGGTAATATTAGCATTAAAAAAGAAGAAAGAAACTGTATGGGAATCAAGCACTGTGAATTTATCAATCCTGAAATTATTAATATGAGCCATAATGAAGTAGACTTTGATTCAGAATTTTGGCAAGAAATCAGTAAGAATAAACATGTTGAGACAAAAAAATCAAAGACCTATGCGTATGTATAAGTTGCAATAGTGCATTTTATGTGTAAGTTACAAAAGTTAAATGATAATTGATTTTATTTAATAATTACTTTAAATCATAATAGGCTATATCTTGGAAGTATGGAATCTAAATGTAAATTTAAACAAAATGGTATATCCTGTTCTGGCAAGCCAAAATTAATCAATCTAAAGAACTATCAAACATCTACTTCTAATTATATCATTGGTTGTGATAAATATAAACTAAATGATAAATACCATCGATATATAAAAGTTGATCCTGCAACTTATGATATTCCTTTATTACGTGATTTGTTAAATTGCAATTTTGTAATTTTGAGTCTTAATTTATATTGTATATTATGCAATATTATTTTAATAATTAATAATATTTCCTTACTATTAATAATAGGAAGAAAGGTAACTTTTAAAATATTGCACAACAATTAGCTCAAGAAGCTCAAAACAAAAATTATGTGGTAATATAATTTGTTTTTATTAATATTCAGTTAATTTAGTTGCATCTTTTAAACTTTAATTAATTAAACAATTTTTTTTAGAAAAAACACATATTAATTCTGATGGTCATATAGTTAGAGGAAATATTAAGGAAAGAACTTGTAGAGTACAATTTACTCTTTTAACTCCATATGATTTAAACCAATGTCCCTGCATTGTAATCATATGTAAAGGAATACATAATCATCCTCCTCCTCCACCAGAAAGAATTCCTGACGGAATCAAAGATGACCTTCAAGATATTATAAAGAATGCCATTGAGGATGATAATTCAGTAACTGCAGGGTCAATTACTTCTGGTAATTTTATTTGTAACATATTTAACTCTTTAAGATTTTTTATTAATAAATAGTAAAATCAATTTAGGGAATTTACTAAAAGCTAATTTCAGAGTAGAGACATTATCAGAAATTCATGCATCGCTTAATAATATTGACAAATTGTGATATCTTGTTGGGAAGACTTACAAGAACATCTATCCATTCGGTCAGGGAATGCTTGGTGTTATCCATAGCATATAAACCAAACAATTAGAACTTCACAATTATGTACATACTATGAGTAAGTAAAAATTATTATAGAAATTTTAAATATACATTTAAAGCTAATTGATTGTTAATTTTATTTTAGATATTTACTCTAATGAACTTGTCATTTTTGTTTGCATGCTTAAGGATCAAGCCAAATTAATCCATCAACTTGGATCAATTCAAATTGACTTAACATTTAAAAGGGTCAAAGGAAATATAAACGAATTTGAAATAAATTCATATAATACTGAACATAAGCTAAGTAAGTTTTATTAATATTTTTTATTAAATTTAGGCATTTATATATTTTACAAAATCTTATTTATTTATTTATATACAGTTCTTTCCTATGCACGTGTATACACTAATGTTACCACAGCAGAAGGCTATCAACAACTTTTTACTGATCTTTTTAATGTAATCAAGGATCTAACTGGACAGGCTGTCAAATTTAGGCATATAGATGGAAATGGAATTGGATGTATTATTGGGGATCTTGATCCTGCTCAGGCCAAGGGATTGGGCCTTTTTCTACAAAGTAAAGACACACACAAGGATTGGGAAACACATTTACAATATATTTTTAAATCATGTGTTGTCCATTTTGAACGGTAAATTTATTATAAAATAATTAATGGTTAAATTTTGTTAAAAAATATTAACAAAATTTTATATTTAGTAATGCAAGAGCAAAAAAATTCTTCTCTGAAACTCTAAATTTAATTTTAAATATCCCTACAGCACCATCAATTGGTGAACTTGAAAAAATATTTTATACATTGGAACAATTAGAAGAATCAAAAATTAAAGGTATTATATTATTATTATTATATTTATTACTTTACAGTATTAATCAAATTTTTATGTAAAATTTAGAATGGATTCGTTATTACCGCCAGCCATATGTTCTTGCCTCATTAAATTTAAATGCATCAAAAATAGATCCTGAAATATGGGCAAGCAGTGCAAATAATACCAATGTGGCAGAAGCTGCCCATGCATTAGCTAATCGGGAAGGAAAGCATCTTAAATTGTTAACTGCAATAATTAGGTATTTGAATTTAATTCTAATTTGAATATTTTATATTTAGCATTTTAATCAGTTATTTTCTTTATTTTTTAATATCATTAGAGGACGTAAAGTTGATCAAAAAGCTGTAAAAATAATGGAAACTGAAAATAAATTTGGAGTTCCCTATTCAAGGCGTGATAATGGAGAAGTCAAAAAATTTCTAAGGCAATTACACATAAAGGTATTTTTGCATTTGATAAGCTAAATATATTAAAAAAAAGTTAAAAATTAATAATGGTATTATCATTAAAAAATTTAAGTACAAGAAATGGTAAAAACAAGCCAATATTGGTTGACTCAACCAATATTAAAGCTGAAAGCTCACAACCAAAAAGAAAAGGACAATTTGCATCAACTAGAAATTCTAAACAACGCAAAATTACTGAAAATAATACTGAAAATATTGATTTTGATATAGAAGAAAGAAAAATAGCCCTTAAGGAGCGTGAACTTCAGATTTGTGTTCAAGAGGCTGCAGCCAGAAAGGCACTTGCCGAAGCTGAAGCAATGGAGCTAATTAATTTAGAAAAAAAGAAGTCATTAGGATTACTTTAAAAAATAACATCAAATATAATTTGTATTAAAGTAATATAAATAAAATTTATAATTTCTTAAAATTTAAATTTTAGTAGTATAGAATAATAATAAAAAAATGAATCATACATACTATGATTTTTTTTATATAGTAATCTAAGTATGTATGTATAAATATGAATCATATATACTACTTTAAAATCATACATACGTAGGTCATTCTAACCATACTATACAGAAATTCTCAATCATACTACATAACTTTCCGAAATACCGGTCTTATCCCCCATGTAAGATTTTTGTATAACCAATCAAATTATAATATTAAGTCACATGATCATATATAGGTGTAATGTAAGAATTTTTCTAATAAAATATCACGTAATAAATGTCACTGCCCTAAACAACATATTTATTTATTTTGTCAAGTAATGAGATAAGTAATAATTAATAAAAACAAAAGTGGATATGACTAATTGAGAAGCAGGGTTCAAGGGAGGAATTTGTCGAGCCCTAACCCGTATATGACAGTTCCTTCCCCGCTACTCATTATTTCGTACTCACACACTAATTTTATCTAATGTTTTACTATGAGAATTATTCTTATGATAAAAATTTTTCACTGTTTGCGCACAAATCTTTCCTATGCCATAATCACTAATTTCAATTGCTATTCTATTGCATACTTCATCTAAGGTTAATTTTTTTTTGGTCATGATTCTATCAGTAATGTGTTTAAAACGAGTCCAAATACTACACGAAATGGTTTCAAAAGATACATTAGCCGAAGAGTTGACGGCTGAGTTAATTGTTTCCATTTCATTTTGCTCTTTGAGCAGTCTCGAGTGATTAACTAACCGTGCCTCTTCATAGAGATCATTAACGGTTTGCTCGATATTATTAATCCTGTAGAGAATACTTTGCGCCTCCATGATAAAAATTTCAATACGTGCATTGATCGATGCGATTTCCACAGTATAGTAATTGTTGATCTCCGCGGATAATTTTTTATTAATTTCAGTGTTACATAAATCAGAGAATTTTGGGTGAAACCCACGAAGTGGCTTTATCCTTTCTTCGAAATGTTTGACAGTATACATAATAATGGTGATCCCAATAAGTATACTGATTTTCTCGATAAAAAAAGATGAGGTAACTGCCAAAAACGGAATATTTTCATTAAAATTGATTAAGGACATCTAAATGAAAAAATCGATTAGTTTGTCTTGGTAAACGATTTTAGGTATAGTAGTCCAACTCTAACGAACCTTTGAATCAAGATAACGAAGATATTTTATACTCGGAGTGTACGAAGTAGAGAAAAAGATCAAGATTAATCGGATGAATACTGAAATTTATTAAATTTAATATCAGTTTTGTGCAGAGCGATTTTAAATGATCAAGCAACGATTTATTTCAGTGAAAGTGGGCAAAGCATACATTTATATATGTTTTCTTACGTAGAATGAGCTAACCGGGTTTAAAAAGATGATATCAGCCCAAAGGGCAAATGTACGTTAAAGAGAAGACAATAAAGACAATAATAACGATCAAGTTCAATTGATTATTAATAAACTCAAAGAGTACGCAGCCTATTACAATTAAAAAGTTTATTGTCATGATATCATCATAGTAAACGCAATCCCCCTGATCATCTTTGTAAATCTCGCCATTGCTAGAACGAAATAGACAGATACGGAACACCAATATTAAAATCTCTGGTCAATCAGTGTAACAGGGAAAATCTGCTAAAATGTAATAGTCAAGTACGAAGCTCCATTAATCTCCGAACGTAAATCATTCCTTCATTAAACAGTAACTGATCGCTGATGACAAATAGTTAATTTAAAAAATTCGTTAGTGTGTCTTTAGTTAGTCAGTTTCACCATTTCGAAGAAAGGCTAAAGCCACTTCGTGGGTTTCACCCAAATATACCGCTTATTTTCTGTGCTCTTTGGGCAGTCTCCGACTGATATGACATATGCATGATCGGGAAAAAATAATCACATGATTTGACGAAAAATGTTCACTAAAATTTTTTATTAATACATGAAAGATAAATACAAAAGTTCAGAACTTTGCCCTTGATACATAACGAATTTTCTTTGTTAAGACTTATCTACACTATCTGTCTTTCCCGTAAGTTTGCTTTTTGATCTAGACTTTTTTATTGACCTCTCCTCACTTTGAGAAGCTGAATCCGGCTTTTGCACCTCCTCTAACAACCATGCAATATGTCCAAGAACTTTTTTAACCATATTTTCCATATTCTCATCCTTGTATACAACGACCATAGGTTCGGATTGTTTGAATCTTAGTCGTCGGGCTGGATGTGGGAGGTGCAAGCACCACCCACCTCCGGGTCTACGACCCATCGCAGTACCTCCTTCCCCCCTACGGGGGCTCAGGAATCCCCTATATCTGTCACCATCTGTCAATAACATCTGTCATATAACAATATACTAAAAAAGGATAAAATAAGGGAAAAGAGAGGAAAATACGATAGAATCAAAGGGGTATGACAGATATGACGGATATGACAGATGTTTCAGAAAAATCGGGAGAGGGTATCCCCAGAAAAAAGTTTTGATTTTACCCCCCCAGATCTGTCATTCTGTCATAGTTCTGTCATATATCAGGATTCCGTCTAATAATCTGTTGGAGGCAGTGAGATAGCAAACCAGATAAGTTAGCAGGTAAGCCTCTAGAAGGTCTATAGAGCCAGTAAGACCAACCCCGTCCCGTCCCCGTCAGAAAAAATAAGTAATTGAACAATGGGTATACCATAAGTAACCTATAAGGACAGATAACATGTATACCCCGCACGCAGTATCAGTAATCCCCGAACTTGTAAGCCATATCCTGGAACACATTCCAAGTAGCAATTTTGGGCCACATCTTTTAGAAGTCAGCCCAATCTGGAGAGCTGAAGCTGAACGAGTACTCTGGAAGCGGCATAAAAAAGCCGAGGAGGCATACGACAGGGCAGTAGAAAAGAAGGAAAAAGCAAATGATGCTCTTGGCCAATCATTGGAGGAGGAGGGTATCCTCCGTGAACTTGAATGGAAGGCGTATCAAAAGGCTTGTAAAGAGTTAACGGACACTAGAAAAAAGCTAACTATAGTAAAAGGAGCTCTTGAGCGGTTTGGATTTCAGATATATGTAGTTTGAAAAAGGGGAAGGGAAGATTTAGAGCAGTCGTAAAGGTTCGTGGTTTATAGTTTTTTTTTTAACCCTAGAAGATAACCAGATATAACCGGAGGACCGCAGAATCGCAGGACCATAGGACTACAGGAGGGTAAATTGGTAGGAGTGCAGATCTTTGGAAAAATATTCGGCAATTGAAGATTAGGTAACTATAAATTAGTACTCGATTTGATAGAACAAAAAATGACTGCCCAAACTAGCACTCAAGCTCAAGTTATCCCCAAGTTCGGTGAACAGAAGAAGGCTTTTAGTATTGATGAGCTTAAACGGCTCATTAACGCTGCAAAGAATATGAGGGATCTCAATCAAGCTAAAGGTTATCTTTGCAGTTACTTTATCCCCTGCTCCAACCCACATGGAGTCTTCATGTGGCGATCAGAAATCAAAAACCTCGAGCACATCCCTGATAAAAATATTAATAAACTTATCCGTCCAATTACCAAAGTCTTTTACACACAATCTGAACAGGGTCCTTCACAAAAGGTTGAATTTAATATCAACAAATGGTTTATGATCGAATATAGTACTGTATGTGTAGCTACCTGTGACCCTCAAAAATCCCGTATCTTTAAACTAGGTGGCCAACTTTATCTCAATATCTTTCCAGGATTCCTCCATATCCTGCGTCCGATATCCACTTTTGAATCTACAACCCACCTCGCGGTTAAATTTATCTTCTCCCACATTCAGGATATCTGGTGTTCAGGCGATTGGAATCTTACTGAGTATATCATAAAGTGGTTGGCCGGTGTGGCAGCTGGAAGGAAAATGTATTCGATTCTCTACCTGAAATCTGGACAGGGTTGGGGTAAGAGTATTATAACAGATTTCATTCAACGTAGTGTCTTAGGTACTCAACTTGTTTATAAGACCAGCGATCCTCAAACGATTCTTGGAAGTTTCAATGGGCAATTACAGGGTAAGGTTCTTCTCCTCCTCGAGGAAATGCCTACAGAAAAAAGCCAGTGGAATAATCTGTATCGATCGTTGAAGGATAAGGTAACAGGCGATATAATGGAAATCCATGAAAAATACAAGACGCCAACACATTACAAAAACTTTATATCCACCATTGTACTCACTAATGAAAATGCTCTCAGAGTGGAGAATGACGATAGGCGCACAGTGTTCTTGGATGTGTCACCATCCCGCAAGGGAGACCTCAACTACTTTAAGAAACTCAGTGACGCTATGAAATACCCAGGCGCCAGTGAGGCATTCTATGCTTACTTGAGAGCCATTGCAGACGCTTACCTAGACTTCAATGGGAATCCACCACCTATGACAACATCTAAGCAGGATCACATCATATCGACTCTTCCACCCCTATTTCAATTCATAAAGGACACTTACCTCATAGTAAAAAATCATATAACCGACCTACCTGTTCAAGAATTTTATAGGGTATATACTTCATACTGTGAAACTCATTGCATCTCACCATTATCAAAGATAAACGCTTCTAGAATCCTATCAAATGAGTTGAGTATAAATAGTAATCGGACTTATATAAATAAAAAGTTAACCCGAGTATATAGCATATCCAGGGAGGATCTTTACAAGAAATACCTCGGCAAAAAATGGATCCATGAAACAGATGAAATCAATATAGAAGGAATAGATATAGAAACTCCTGAGAAGCCCGCATCTGATCCAAATGCCTTGGAGAAGTTCTTGGCAAATATATATAATCCAGCTAGTAAATCGCAAGTAGATCAAGAGAAAGTGGAGTTAGTTGTTGAGAAACCTGTTGAAGAAAAACCTACTGAAGAGCAACTAGTTGCCAAAATAAAAGGCTCCTCCATCAGTACCACCTAAACCTGATTGCTTGAAGGTAAAACCTGCACCTGTCATCAAAGAGGATCCTATTCCTGAGGAATCTCCAGCTCCCATAGAGTCAGATACTGATGAAATTATAGACAGTTTCTCAGACTGTTATCTATCTGATGAGGAATCTGATCAAGAAAATGAGCCGCCTGCTGAAGAACCTGCATTTAAAGCTGATGATAACTACGACGTTTTAGATGACTTGCTATCTGACTCAGATTTTACAACTGTGAACCCAGCTCCTGAACAACAACCCGAGTCTCCCGCAGAATTTTCTGCATCTGTCACTAAGCCTGACCCAGAACCGGCTCCTGAAGAACAACCCGAGTCTCCCGCAGAATTTTCTGCATCTGTCACTAAGCCTGACCCAGAACCCGCTCCTGAAGAGCAACCTATCCCAGAACCTGACACAGAACTAGAAGTTGACTGGGACCCTGAACCAAAGGAAGGTACTCGAGCACACTGGGCTTGGCATGAAAGGCACCGATGGGATCGTAAGCCATGGGTCAAGAATTCAAAGGACCAGGTCTTCAATGATCTCTACAATACAGGTAAGGATTTATGGGCTAAGTACCAAGACGTGTCAGACGACTATGACTGGGAAATACTCGCGTTTGAAGTAGAGGAATGTCCCACAACACGTATTGAGGACGAGTACCAGTATTACCTTAGGGAGGTAGTAGACCGCTTCAAGGACTGGATTGAATATAATGGGAACTTACCTAAAACACCTAGCCGTAAAGAACTCGCAGATCTAATAAGAGTATACAAGGAGGATCGTGATGCCGAGATTATCCCTACCACCTCTGGTTATGAAACTATGAAGATGAATAAGGGTAAAGC